AACACTCCTATGAAATCGAGACTACAAATGGGCACAAATTGAAAAAAGAATTGCAAAATTCATCAAAAATCACTGATTCGTCAAATTGTATTAAACAAATCAAGGCCCCCGCCGAATACGAATCAATTAATTTCTAGCGATTTTTCATTTGTCAATTCATTGGGCTATAAAACCATCCCCAGGAACCTAGAAACACCAAAATTGCAAAGAGGCGTCCTCTGACTGTCCTCAACAATCTCCTCCAAATTTGGTGAAGATTGGGTTTCGGATGTCCGAGTTATACACTCACAAAGACTTCCCCCCCCAAGGAGGGATTGTAGAAGAAAGTCAGGGAAGGATTCTCTGTGATTATGGTGTCTCTAGGTGCTGGGGTGGGACTTTCCTGGGGGGGGCTCTTTGTGGATATATTAACTCAGACATCCAAAACCCCAACTTCACCAAACTTGCAGGGCTTGTAAAGGAGAGTCAGACGGGGCTTCCCTGTGATTTTGGTGTCTCTAGGTGCTTGGGCGCGGGGGGGGGGTATAGGGTTTTAAATGAATCCATTTGTCAATTCGTCAGAAAAAAAATTCATAAATTCGTAACTCATGATTTGTCAACCTTAATGAATCACGAATCTAAATGAATCACCATTTTTCTGATTCACACCCATCTCTAATCCAGACATTAGTGAGGTAGCCAAATAAATTTAAGGGGACTAGAATGCTTCAAGGCTTAATCTGCATAACTGATATCTGTTGATAGAAATAACATTACTTCTCTGGTAGAGACTGCAATTTTCCTGGAATAGTCATGCTTCTGTTAACTGTGTATACATACATTATCAAAGCATAAAGTGCCAATTCCTTTAAAAAAAACTGAAGCCACAGATAGCAAAGGTAAAAAGTGAATGTGGTATGCGAATTGCTGGCCCACTCAAATAAAATAAAGATTGGAGGGAATCAAGATCCCATGTTCCAGTAATTGCTAAAAACAGTACTTGGCAAAATAACTCTGTACAGCCCAGATATCTGATCCGAAAATCTTGGGAGGTTGCCCACTGCCTTCCTGCACAACTCCTTGTTCTATCCCTCACTCCTTCTCGGAGTGACTATATGATCACTGTTTCCCTCCCACTGTAGAAAAAAAAACAGCACACCAGATAATGCAAAGCAGCAGCTTCTGGAGAAACAAAGGGACATAGGATACTCTGACAGCTATTTACTTCTAAAATATATAACCTTCACAATGTATGCATAAGTGTGTCACCATTTCTCTTGCGCCCCTAAATGCAGGGGAGCACCTTAGTCTTTAATACAGTGGTGCCTCGCATAGTCATCGCTCTGCTTAGCAAAGAAATTGTTCTGTGATGGACTTTTTGCCATCGCAAAAGTGATCACTTTGCGATGATCCCTATTGGCTATTTTCTCTTTGCGATGATCGTAGGGAAGCGATCATCGCAAAGCGCCCATTTTTGGCCAGCTGATTGGTGGTTTCAAAATGGCCACCGGGTAAACAAAATGGCCACCCACTGTGTTTAGGGATGGATTCCTTGCTTTAGAGGCGCCAAAAATGGTGGCGCTATGGAGGATCTTCGCTTAAAGGTGAGCTTTAAGCCCATAGGAATGCACTCGTTCTGTGATGGACTTTGTGTTGCTATGGGCTTTTTTATTTCGCTTAGCGATGTTATCGCTTAGCAGCGATTTTTCAGCACGCATTAAAATCGCTAAGCGAGGCACCACTGTATTTGAGAAATATTGCTCTAACATACCACTGTGCTCCATATCTTGGGGCTCTGATGCAAAATAGCTGATGAGGTGGTAAAACTAGTAAGATCCAAGAAAACAAATTTCGGGGTTCAGGCAAGACCAAATACCCATTTATAATTATTAAAACAATCCCCCCCCCTGTACTGAGAGATGTCAGGGACATATGTCCTAACCTACTACTGTCATTGTGCTAGTTTTGTATATCCTATAGATTTTCTTAATTAAGAAACATTTAAATATGCCATCTCCCCAGGGGCAGTATGAAGCTATATAGTCCAGACACAGGATTACTAACATTTAATGTAAACTAGGGAACAAAAGTAAGCAATGAGTAACATAACAGAGTGCCTTGTGGTCCAGCTGACCATCCTCACGGCCTAAAAACCAAACTGGTACTAGAAGTGAACAAAATGAAAGTGAAACCCAGGAGCTGGTTGATGGAATTCTCCATGAACCCAGAGGAGTCCAGTCTGTGTCCTGTTCCCTCCCCACCCATCACTAGATAAGACAAAACTGTGTGATTTGGAACAACATTCAGCTGGGAGAATTTGAGCCCTACATAAAAGTCTATTTAGAGGCTGAGATCATTTAAACTCAGTGAGTTAAAAGACTGATAAATACACTTTACAAGTCTTTGGTGGCTTGCAGTTCAACCTGCCCTGATCCGTAATTACCAGCAGCAGAACAAAATCTGTAATTTCTAATGTTTGGCATATGAAAACATGCACAGTTGCACAGTAAATGTCACTGCAGATAGTCACCTGAAAGCACTCCAGTTTCTTTTAGTACAAACTTTGACCTGGCTGAGAACATATCCCCACTAGATTATTTACTGCCTGTCACTTGTGTTCAGCCTGAACTAACTCAAAGGGGTTGTTGTAAGGATGGGGGAGCGGGAAAATGACACCATACAGTATTTGGTAGCCCTTGCTCTTTGGAGGATATAACTTTTTTTAAAAAATGCAAACATGTAGGGTCCCAGACATTGCTGAATTTCAAAGGGAAGAGCAGGAGTTTGTCAAGAAAAATGCAAGCCTTTAGCTCCAACCTCTGGGGATCTACATAGACTGCAGCACACAAATTCAAGCGATGACATTCAAGGCCAAGATTCTTCGAGACTGCTGCTTGCAAAACCCATTAATCTTCAGCACAATCAAACACAGCTCATCTTTTACTGCTGATGGCCATTACACACAAACAGCAATTACTGTTCCTGGCAAGAGAACCAGTTGCCTCTTTACGGGTTTGTATTTTAATCATCCGGTTTCTTAGCACTCATCCTCTGAAAGAAATATTTAACGCAGGCTCACTATTTTCCCCTCCAAGACACAAAGCAGTTGGTTTTCTTTTTAAAAAAACAACAACAAAAAAGTAGGAATGTAATAAAGACAAGGATGTTACTAGTCCAAGGTTTCATGACAAATCGCTTGAAGGCAGTGTAGGCAAATCTATACATCTATCTTTCCCATTTTCCCAGAGGTTTGACAGCCTTGTGCATATGAGCAGGTAACAAGAAAAGAATAGGAAACTAGGTATATACATTACTAACTGCTTGCAAAGGAATCTAACAGGTTCTCCGGTTTCTCCAAGATTTTGAGACTCAGTGGCATAACTCCTGGACACTGCACTCTAAAGCAAAATCCCACTAAATTGAATGGATCTTACTCCCTAGTAAACGGGTGCAGAATTGCAGCAGAAACAAAACATGGCTGACAGTCATCGTGGTACTGTAGCCATCTGGAAGGTAAACAATGATCTAACTTTGTTGGCACGGACAGCATCAACATCAAAGAAACCTGTGCTAAGAAGGAGCCCTTCGCGCAATGAGACTTTCCACTGCAGCAAGGAGCACGTATGCTTCCAGACCAATGTACGATATAAAACCTATTCAATGAGGGTGTGGAATTGGTAAAACCTATCCTTACTTACCTTGAAAGCCCTATTCGGGTTTGCTATAGCCGGTTCTGGCTTGACAGCAAAGAACAACCAAGGGCTTCTACACAGAACTTACAGGATTTCTCAGCAAACAACCTGAATGCCAGAAAAGAGGCCGCTGGTCTGGATCAGCTTCTCAAAGGTAAGTCCTTCTGGATGCTATGGTCCTGTCTCACTTGGGGTTGATGGGAAATGGAGTGCAAAAAACATCCAGAGGGTTTGGAGGTGGGAAAGGCTGCTACAGGTGATGCTGGTATGCAGGATGAATCACTCCTTTTCAAATGCCCTATCAACGTCCATGCCAAACACCAATTTTCTATGAATATTCTGCCAGTAGGCTTCATAATAAGGACAGCTACCTGGCTGGAGAGCTCAATTAATTGGGTATCTGGCTGCAGAGCCAGAGGCTGGGAATTCAATTCTCCACTGTGCATCTCAGAAAAGCCAGCTTGCCTGGTCTTGGGCACGCTACACTATCCCAGGGCGCCTGCAAAAGAAGGCAATGGTAAACTACTGGAATACAATCTATAAAGAAAATCCTAAAAAGGTTGCCATAAGAATTGACTTGATGGCACACAACTATTATGTCTATAAAGGAAATCCTAAAAAGGTTGCCATAAGTAAGAATTGACTTGATGGCACGCAACTATTATTATCAATGCAAAGAGAAAGAAAGCAATTTGGTGGAAAATGTAAGGTCCTATAAATCGACCTTCTATGTAACACACACAACTGAAGCTGTGTTACTAGACTTCTTCGTATCTCCGTCTTTCTTTCTCGCTCTATCTTAAAACACACACACATACACAATGGGTTTTACATGTAGTGCCAATACAGCTGCCAACACACAATCTCATTATCCATGTCTAAGGACGTAACTTGACAGCTCTTTGATCCCTGGAAAAATCTGAACAGAGATGATCACACATTCTATCTTATGCAAAGTAACTTTATCTACATTTTGCAAGGTTTTGCTTCCAAGCGCACAGCATTTCACCCGGGAGAAGTGGCGACAGTGGTCCTAAGCTGGGGGATGAGCAAACGATACAAACAAGAGGCAGGAGATCCACAGAAACACACAGTGAGCACCCAAGATTCTCTGAGACCCAGAAACTTGGGAAATTTAAAATAAATGTTGTAGATAAAGAGTTGTTCTCATGACCCTGTTGCCGACATTGTGAACACATAAGCACAAGGGCAAATGCAAAGGGGAAGAAAGGAAGCAGAGGAAATCAGAGAAGCTCAGTAGATCCAGCTTTGGCCTACCAATCACCCTGAGAACAAGATCATAGAAAACGCCTATGAGCGACACCAACAGGACGAGCATCTCCATATTTTTATTAGCACTAAAAAGTCTCTTGTACAAGGGATTGCTTTTGAATCGTAGGAACATGGTGATCTAGTAGCTATTTGATAGAAGAGTTTTCTTTTTAAGAAACTGCAATGACCAACTTCAGCTGATATCACAAACTTATGTAATACAGGCTATTTTCCATCACATCCGTCCTTCAAATTTAATGGAAACTGGGAACAAAAGAGAGGGGAGAAGAAATAATCCTCTTTTTTTGAAAGAAAAAAAAAAAGAAAAATGGGATCTTGCTGGCCTTGTTATGGCATGGGGGAATTTCTTTGTACATTCAAAGCATTATTGCATCAGAAAAATGGATCATGCACATTTTTTGTTTTCAGACAAAAAAGAAGTTTAACCTGTATTATTCTCATCATTGCTAGCTACATTTCAAAGGTGCACCAATTCTACAGTTTTATACTTCTCTCTTTTAGTCGCATGCTTTGCCTATGCGCATGCGGTAAGATAATAAATATTAAATACAGGAAAGAACATTAGGAAAAGAAAAAAAAAGAACAACTGACATTGGGAATATTTTGCGGCAAGTACGCCGGTTAGGGAGCACATCAGAAAAAAGGTTGAGGTAATTATGTTGGCCACAACGCTCTGCCAAATTGTTTGAAATTCACGGAAGTTTTTCAGAAAATTCAAGTACACAAATACCAGCTGGGGCTCTTCAAAAAATGCCAGAAGTCATGGCTTCCCCACCCACCCTTTTCCTTGTTTCTTAGTCCATTAGTCGGCATTCACACAGCTCCTTGTAAATCCTTTTTCGCACTCGAGGCATGTCTTCCTGGGAGAACTGAAAAGGCTGGTCTAAGGCGAGGCACTTGCAGTACTGCGGGAGAAAATAGAAAAGAGAGAGAGAGAGAGAGGGCCAGGTTTAGGAATGTAGACCAGAAGCCTAGTGGAAACAGATTCCAAGGGAAG